ACGACAGTTCATTTTACTTCTTCACTCAAGCAAATCACTGACTTGATCATCAGAGAAACAACCGGGGAACCCAATCTTGCCCTCTTACGATTTGGTGCTTGTGCAGTGAAGAACAGTTTACTTCAAAACTAGACATTCGGAGGGGTAGAGGACTTCTGTCAACTTAATTCTTCCATTTGACTGTTTGATATCAAACATCAACAGTTTGGATTGTCATTTCTATGATGTTGAAAGTATTTTCACTTACATAAGTTGACGGTTTTGGTTCTGAGGATAAAGTTGTGAATTTGGTAAGATAGGCTTTTGATTTGGGTTTAAAACTGTTGTTAAAATTATGAATGAAGTAGAAATGAATTTGCTACTGCTTCTATTACTATCATTGCTTCAAGCTTTATCCTTAATTACTATTCATATGCTTTCCCTCCAATTTATCAAACAAATCATTTGGAAGATCAAAGAAATAACTGTGTTTAGGCCTATTCCCTGGTTATGAAGAAACTCTATCCTATCCAAATTAACATTTTGAAAGTGTGCAGTTTAAAAGAATGGCGGATAATGATAGTAGATAATGAATTCTCTGTTTGGATGGCTGTTATTATTCTTGTGAGCTTTAAGCAAACATGTGATTCTATAATTCATGAACTGTTAAGGAACTTTGCTTTACAGAAAAATATTTCAGGTTTGAAGATACATACCATAGAAAAAACAACAGTAACTGTTGAGCTATAGGTTTATTCACCCATGATTATGAAGAAATATAAGCCCCATTAAGTAGATATTATGTTTATAGAAATTATTTAATAATATCAAATTAAAAAACAAGTAAACACTTAACATTCTCTTCAGTCCCTCAGATATTGATCTAAAGACAAGGGGAACCATAGATAGGAGTGACAACAGACTTCTTCCGCATATACTTGTCAATAGCATGCATTCCAAAGTCTATTCGAAAGCCGCTGAAATTATACCTGCCGAAAGGAACATCATTGTTTGTCATGAAGAAGCAGAAGAGAGTACTTGCTTGAACTTCATGAGAGACATAGCAGGCCCAAATATTTCATCCTGAGCTATCTTCATCTCCTCCTACGATAAGGATTTACCATATTTCATACATTGGATCTAAAAACGCATCGGTATTTAGCTCTGAAGTTGGTTGTTGCATTGTTCACCTTGACATCGATACTTAAAGATTGTGGGCTCAATTTAGTACCCTTTTTTCTCCACAACATTTTTCTCCAGTAAGCAACATTGTTCCTTCCCTCTTGCCAAGATTTATGTAGTTTAGTACTTTCTCGATCTGCATTTTATCAACCTGAACAAGAAGAAACAGTGGCATTGGAAGTTAGCAGTAAAAGAAAATTTTATTCATACTACTCTAATAACCCTCACTAGTAGAAAAACGTGCAACCTAGACCGAAATTTCCATCTAGGTTGCTTGGAATCCCGTCTAGGTTGATCAACCTAGACGGAAATCAGTCTAGGTTGATCCATCTAGGTTAATTCTGTCTAGGTAGCTACTGTAGCAACCTAGATTGAATTTCCGTCTAGGCTGCCACTGTAGCAACCTAGACGGAAATTCTGTCTAGCTTGTGATGCTACAGTAAAAAATTTTTGGCAGAATCTACGATGCACACTATATAATATCACATGTACATGTACATAACATTGCACAACACCAAATCATATTCATATCCAACACAATCTAATTATATTTCAATATCAAATATAATTATATTCAAATAATACATTCACCAAAATACTAGAGAGATACATAAATTATTTACATAGATAATAAAGAATACAATTGTTTACATAACTTGATGAACTTTGCATAATTTCTAGAATCCAATTGCATTTACTCCTCCAAGTTGTTGAAGCATCATTAGGCTAAATGCTACCTATGCATGGAAAATCCTTCCATCAATCCTTCCAAGTTGTAACACCATAATAGTTCATTGGGTGTAACTTCTATTAACCTTAATATTTGGGGACCATGCATGAGATACATTAGAGTTGTACCTTAATAAGCACAGGATTATCTACAGTCAAAGTAACATATGTGAGATATGGACCACCAATCATCCTTGCAAATGAGAATATGAAGGCAAATAATATGTGAGATATGGACCACCAATCATCCTTGCAAATGAGAATATGAAGGCAAATAGAACCTGCATCATTAAAAGAAATGAGTCATCAGTTTTCATCCTTGCAAATGAGAATATGAAGGCAAATAGAACCTGCATCATTAAAAGAAATGAGTCATCAGTTTTTTTCCTTCCCTTCTCTCTGGAGGAATTCCTTTATTATGACATTACCGAGGATCAGCATGTTTAAGTGAACATTACTACAAAATAAATATGTAAATCCCTAACATGTTAATGAGAAATCATGCTAAATAATACAAAGCCATTGAAAACAAGAAATAAGAGTATGACATATTCAGTCTATATCAGTAATATCAGAAGCTATTTACAATTGCTAGACTCAAAATAAAAACATCATCAAAAATGAAGTTACATTCAACAAGAAGTTAAATGGAACCTTTTTTGAGTAAATGTACAGAAATTTATATTACCTTTACAACTTCTATATTTTCACTTATTCTATCAGATATCTTGTTCAAGTCTATCTCTATCTCCTCTGTTAGCTGCATATATGCTTGTGTCCGGATCTTAAAGATGAAATCGTGAAAGTAGGAGACAAAAGTTATGTGCATATTTGGAGAGTGACATAAACTTTACTCTATAACAATAACAATTCTATTTCATTTACGAGAGTCGACAAACTTTTGGTAACATCCAAGAGCAAAAACATTACAATGTACCCGTTCACTCTGAACTTAAAGAAGTTTTTGAATTCGGATACTAGCTTTTTAGTCAACTTTTTCCTCATAGGAATATTATTATCCCAAAACTTATTTGTTCACTAAAATTATAATGTGTTATCACTTTATTATTTAAATTTTTTTTATTTCACGTATTTTCACATCACACGCTTAAATAATTGAAAGCATATCGTTTAGTGTCTCAACGTGAGATGAAAATTTGTGTAAATATCTGTAATTACTTTGGTATTGTTCACTTAAATTACATCACTACGTGCCCCAAATTTCCAGTCAATTTTCTATTACCAACCAAAATCACAAGGCATGCCCCAAATTTCCAGTCAATGTTCTACTTAATGTCAAATATGTAGCTAATTTCTTAATTTCATGTTTGTTATTTTAAGTTTTTAGACGTCGAGATATTTTTTTATAATTTGAAACTTTTCAGGATATTTTATGTAATTTTTAAACTTTTTAGGTTTTTTGCAATACTTTATGTATTATAGTACGTTAACTACATATAATTTCTTTATCTTAATAAACTAATACTATAAATATTTTTTATATATTTTATTAATATTATTTTTTTAATTGTTAAGCTATAGATAGTTCACGTATGATTAGGATAAGATATAATTATTATTAAGATAGATTAAGATATAAGTAAAATATTTAAAATATTGAAGGATATATTGATCATAGAAAGATTTTTCCGAACTCGTACTTTAATATATTAATAATGTTACATTTTCTTTATCCTGTCATTTTTCACAAAGATCTGAACTAAATACCTGCTTTTTTCATTACCAATTTGCCTTAGATTATAGTATTAATATTTATTTATTTTAGTATTTAAAAAACAAAGTATGAAATTTATGAATACTTACTAATTTTTCTTGTATCTTCCATGAAGAATTTTTCTTTGATTGAGATAAAGTTGTTAAATTATTCTTCAATGGAACTCAATCGGTGCTTTTTTGATTTATTTCTGCCACTTTCTCATTTTTAATGGAAATAGCTTGATTTTTATGAATGGTACGTATCTCTGAACATTCTGATAGTTTCTCCATATGTAATTTCTTACATTATTATACACTATAAATATTATTAACATCGGAGATCAATGTTTCTAAATTATAATCAATTGATGGTAAGCTATTATAGTTTCTCCAAATTTTAATTTTTTTAAAATTTTAGGGTTGTTTTTCATAATCTAAACTTTTGAGGGTATTTCTATAATTTTTGAGACATTGAGAGTGTTAATTAAAAATGTTAAATTCTTCGAAGTCTGTTAATTTCTTGATTTCATGTTTGTGGTTTTAAGTTTTGAAATGTTAGAAATTTTCAAGTGCATTATAATAATCCCTTGAATTCATCTATATTGTTTGCAAGTTTTAAAATTTTAGAATTTCAGGTGCTTGTTTGTAATTTGAAATTTTGAGGGTGTTAATATAATTTTGAGATATTAAGATGTTAACCGTAAATTTTAAATTCTTCGCAAACTGCAGTTAATTTCTTAATTTTATGTTTGTTGTTTTAAGTTTTTAGACGTCGGATAGTTTTTATAATTTTAAACTCTTCAGGGTATTTTGTGTAGTTTTTAAACTTTTTAGGTTTTTTTCAGTGGTATATGTATTATAGTATGTTAGCTACATATAATTTCTTTATCTTAACAAACTAATACTATAAATATGTTTTATACATTTTATTAATATTATTTTTTTAAAATTATGAAGCTATAGATAGTTCACATAGGATTAGGATATATAGGATATAATTATGATTAAGATAGATTAATATATAAAAGAAATATTTAAAATAATGAAGGGTAATATTGACTATAAAAAAAAATTTCCGAACTCGTAGTTTTAAAGGGAGTATGATACACACACACTCTCACACACTCACACACACAGACACACAGACACATTATAATTTATTAAAGGAGAAATTTTTAAAACCAACCTTTTTTAGAATTTAATAGGCAAAATCGACCTAAAGTGAAAAATATTAGCAAAACCGACCCTTTTCTTCAGAAAAGGGTCGGTTTTGCAGCCGAATGTGTTTTACGAAGTACTGCTAGTCCCGTGCACTTGGTCTTGACCAGCGGCTGGGCTCTCTGCTTAAAAGTCGGGACTGCTAGTCCCGACTTTTAAGCAGAGAGGACTCGAGACTAGGTGCACAGCAAGTGCACGGGACTAGCAGTCCCGTGCACTTGCTGTACACACTTTTGTTCACTTTCTGGCTGCATTTCAAGCCGTTCATGTACATACATCAACACAAACATCAACTAACAAGTCACATACTCATTTCACCACTACATTTCATGTAGTCCCGTTACATACATCCACACAAACTCCCACTAACAAATTACATACTGATTTCACCACATAACATATAAGAGGAACTCTAGCTCTCCATACAACTTGGTATTCTGTGCATATTGGGGGTAGCTGAGGTAGAAATTGGGTGTAGGGCTCCCATTCCATCTACAATAATTTATTGCAGTTGCATATCAGAATTGGGTTTTCAGTATGTAGAAAAAATAGCGCATGTTTTTCGGTGAGAATTACCTGAAAAATCTTCATACGGTCAAGCTCATTCCGGTAGAAATCCAATTGTCTAGCCGGGGTCTCGTCATAGCATTTTTCGACATTCCATCTACAAAAAAATATTTGTCATACATTTAGTACCACAATGATAACTACAATTATATTCGCTACACTAAAAATACAATACCTGCATCCCAGTGGAATTTGTCCATCTAATTGTAAATGCGTGCATAGTCTCGGCTTCAAATGAAGTCTCTCCCATGCCCATACTTGCAATAATCTTAGACACCCTTTAAGCTCACTGTTTTGTATAAGTGCCACTTTTGACATCTCTCTATATAAATACGCCAAAACGGCACTACCCCACGATTTTGTACCACATACGTCCAAGTCCTCGAGGAGTGGTAACCACCTAGCATATTCACAATATTCCAATTTATTAAAATAAGCTAATTCAATGAAATACAGATTCATATTATAAATACACATACCTCGCATGCACTTTATCTTTACTTGAATCTGGAAATAATATAGTACCAATCATGTGCATAATGTATGCACGTGCATGTTGGTCAACCAAAATTTGTGGGGCATCAACAGGCAACGGTACTGAGAAGATCTCTCTCAACCACTTCAACTTAATATTTCCTCGAGGCATAGGCTCTGGAGCTACACCTAACAACTCCTCACATCTTCGAGGCCATACATCACTATCAGTGCCGGTAATGCACGGACCATCTATACGGAGACCGAGTATCACGGCTACATCTTGTAGAGTAATGATAGCCTCGTCCATCCGGAAGTGGAAAGTATTGGTCTCAGGTCTCCATCTATCCATCAACGCAATCAGTAGGGGCCAATCGAGCTTTATCCAACGAAGCTTTGAACAAGTCAAGAAGCCGGCCCGTCCCACAGCTGCTATGATACGCTCATCCTCTAACCGCCAACGGCTATGGCTGAGGCTATGATCAACCATAACGATACTCGGACCTCTCTGTATAGACAATGATAGTATAAGAATGCAATATTATGTAAATGCAAATATTACAATTATAAAGTAACTGAATTACCTCCCCGCTTCCGCGATTTGCGCCGCGATAGCCCCGCTTTTTGCCGCTTTTTACAACACTGATCAACCATAACGATACTCGGACCTCTCTGTATAGACAATGATAGTATAAGAATGCAATATTATGTAAATGCAAATATTACAATTATAAAGTAACTGAATTACCTCTGTACAGGATATAATATGTGAACGATGCTGAGCCTGGTCATATAAGACCTCATCACTAACCGGCCCAGGATCCATGGTGTACAAACCTGCACATATAATTATACACATGTTAATAATCAATCATATAGTAATTCAGTTTCTTTATTAAAGTATATAAAAATAAAAAAATGATATAAATTACCAATTAGTTGCTATCTATTGTGTCTAGATGGACAACGAGGTCGAGTATGTCCCGGTTGTTTGCAAAGACTACATTTTTTGTGCTTGACCACTCCTTCTCGCCCTTGATCCATGGTTCCCCTAATTCGCACAGATCGTGGTCGACCTGCTTGTCTCCGGTACTGAGGTGGAACTATATGTGGTCCATTATATTCAGGCCAATACCGACTATCATCAGGTGGATGAAAACTCTCACTATATGTCTTTTGATAGTGAGCTGTTGAATACCAAGGCGAGCAATACCGATTTCTGGGAATTCTAGCACCTCCCGGCTGATTAGAAGAAGCCGCAAGCACATGTGCACAGGGTATTTTTTGGAGTTGTGGTATGTTACATGTGCAAGTGCAATCAACATCAAATAGTTTAACGGTGTAGATACCGTCACAATCTTGTACCTGCCATTCGTTGTCGTTGAATACAGTAATTTGACATGATCTTGCTGCCTCAATTCTTCTATGCAAAATGGACTCATTTTTTGGTGTGTAACGTGTTGTCCAGTCTATGCCATCACCACGCCTTTTGTTGAAGTATGCGTTTAGTCTATAGAATGTTCTCGCAACCAAAGATTGTATTGGCATAGCTCGTGCTCCTTTAAGAACGCCGTTAAAGCTCTCGGAGCAATTAGTCGTCATCATGCAAAACCGCACACCCTCATCCTTACATAATGCCCACCGATGCTCGAATTGAGGCTTCAAGTTATTTTCAATCCAATTATGTGCATCTAATGACAAAGACTTGATTTTCTCCCTGCAATGTTCATACACTAATGTGTCGGTCGCACACCCGGCTTGCCACAAAAGATTTTGCAAATTAATCTCACCGTGTTTTTTCTTGAAATTATCTCTTATATGCCTTAAACAATATCGATGGTGATGTGGTGCACTAAAACCCTCATGTAACGCCCTTATAATTCCTTTCATCCTATCCGAAATAAAGGTAATTATTCTTGGCGCACGGACACTTGGAATCCACTTGTATATAAGTTCAAAAAACCACTTCCAACTAGACGTATCCTCCACCTCCACGACTGCAAATGCTAGAGGAAATAACCCGCCATTTGCATCTACACCGGTCGCTACAAGAAGCACGCCTTTGTACTTTCCATATAAATGTGTACCATCAATGCTCAATAGCGGACGACAAAAAGTGAAGCCCTTAATAGCAGGACCAAATGCCCAAAACACGCGAGTGAACCTCTCCATACCCGGTGCAATCTCTTCGGATAATATTTCGTATTCAGTACCCGGATTATTTCGTTTGATAGCTTCAAGATACTGTGGAAGTAATTCATATGATTTTTTCCAATCTCCAAAAATTTTAGACAACGCTTTCCTCCTTGCATCATATGCCTTATATTTAGATATCTTAATCCCCCGCATGTCATATACCCTCTGAAATATCTGACTTGCATTCAGATCAAGTTCAGCTCTAACTTCAGGCATAATTAGCTTACATATATAAGAAGAAGATGCAGAATAATCATCGACATCCACCGACGGGTTGCAACATGTATGAAGTCCGCAATATCTACATATTACAAATTGCCCATTTGATGATTTTCTCACAGCGGCATTTAGCAACCAAGGACATTTTTTATTTCTCTCATCTTGCTCATTTGCATTCTCTACTTCATTCTTATCGTTAAAGAAGCATTTCACATTGTAGTTTGTTGCATTAGTTTTTACCGGCTTTAATTTGACCCGATTCTTGATGGACCATTCTCGGATTGCAAAAATCAGTGCCTCCTTGTTCTCGAATAGATCCCCTTTTTTAAAAGTGAAGTCCTCAGGTCGTTGTAAATTTGGCCCAACATCAACAAATCCAGCTTGAGAAGTATTTATCCAATCCTCATTATGAAACTCGTCGGGCAACGGATCTTCAGCTTCCACATAATCATTGTTAACGTTAAATTGCTCCATCCAACGGGCGTCATCATCTATTCCAGCTGCCACATGCATGCTATCAATTTGCACGCCATCTTCTTCAAAATGATCTGAATCATCATCTGCTTCATCTTCTATAATTGCTCCGACTGGTGGGTAACCCGTAACATGACCTGAAGCGTCGTTAAATATATTAGTTGACGTCCCACCGATAGAATACTCACTTAAACGTTGTGGTTGAGACCATGGCTCTTGACTTGGAGATGTCATAAAACCAATCGACTCGTTGTCTAAGTCAAGCATCCGAGAAAACTCTCCTTGAGGTCGTGAAACTTGGGCAAATTCCTGAATCGGATACTTCTCAATAAACAACTCAATTGACGCTTGCTTCTCGACTAATTGTTTCATGTCATTCAATTCCTCATCTTCGGTAATCTCCACGGCAATAGTTCTACTCTCATTTATAGGACAGTTGAAGAACACCTTAATTGTATATTCTTCTTTCTTAATTTTAGTAACTCTGTGTATTTCCCTAGTCATTCCATCAAAATTACACGACTTAGATAGCATGAACATTTTCCGAGAACCTCCATCATACACCGGCAAATTATTCACTCCGACGCCGAGGCTCCCATTAAAGAAACAAATAATGGATATGGAGTTCGTCATCGAAACTGAAAATACACAGTCCATCATATGCAAATAATCTATTAATATCTGAATAAATTCCAAATAATGGCTAAACCCCTAATTATTATTCATCATATGTAAATAATTACTAAACCCTAACTCCCAAATCACATTATTCATCCTATTGCACAAAATAAAAACTAATCCTACCCAATTCTAGCAAAATTAACAGCAAAATTAACAGCCAAAACATTATTCCCCCAATTCTAGCAAAATTTGATGAATATCCCTCTTAAAAATAATTGCTAAACCCTCTCATATGTAAATAATTGCTAAACTAAACCCTAACTCCCAAATCACATTATTCACTCAATTCTAGCAAAATTTGATGAATATCCCTCTCAAAAATTAACAGCAAAATTAAAAAGAAAAACACACCTGAGGATGGGGGTTCGGTGGGCGTCGATGGTGTCGGATGCGCGACGAGGTCGGAGGGCTAGGGTTAGGCGGCGACTGCAAATGGCAGGGGGTCGAAGTCGAAGTTGAAGGCTAGGGTTTGGGGGGGTTGAAGGCTCAGTCACGAGAGCGTCGGGGTCGGCGGCGACGGAAAATGGCGGTGATCGGCGGCGACGGAAAATGGCGGTGATCGGCGGCGGGGGTCGACACGAGTCGAGGGTTTTTTTTTTCTTCGGGGGAGAGTGGTCACGAGAGGAATGAACGAAAGAATGACGAAAAGAAAGGGAGCCGGTGGGTTAGGCGGACTACACGGGACTGCTAGTCCCGTGCAGTTCCGTAATTGCAAAAACGACCCTTTGCGGTCGGTTTTGCTAATTAATTTGTGAGACGGTCGATTTTGCCCAATAAAATTGAAAAAAGGGCTGTTTTAAAAATTTCTCCTTTATTAAAAAGGGTCATATAATTTTATATTATATAATTGATTTAATATTGAATAGTAATATCGTTGTAATAATATTGTTATTAGGAAAAACTCTTCATGAACCAGTATGTTCTTTACAATATATAAGCTATACACTCTAAATTCTTGTGTCTTTTATAGAGCTAAAAAGTTTGAATACATGCATCTAACATTTTGCTCTTACAACAGCAAAATCCACTTAGCAGATGTGAATATTTCAGATAAATTATATGTCCTGTATACAACACAATTGGCCTAGGCAAGTGGGTTATAATAGCATTTTTTATTCACATCGTTTGGAGCAAGATATGATAGGCACCTTGCATCAAAGAAAAAAGAATTTTTTATATTTAGAGCACATGACGAAATATATCATAATCTCCATGTTCTATTTTTACAAGAAAATAATTCTTCATACTTCTATGACACGGAGAATGTTGAACCATACATTGATGATACTATTCTTTGTAATATTTTTCAAAAATAAAAGTCAATTTTTCAAGTACAAGTGTTGCTTCTTAACTGCTTCTTTGTAATATTTTTAAGTGTTTGTAATTTACAGCTTTACTTCGGTTTGGTAAAAGTTATTTAAAGTTTTACTTCTATCAATCCCACAAAAACTTTATTTTTTTATTTTTATTCTATTTTTATCAATTTAAATAATTATGATATTCAACCACGTGTAATATCTCAACTATATAAATATTGGAAAAATAAGATAAATTTCGTTGCGTGCTACTAGAACAAAAGAGTTGCATATTAAAAAGAAAATAAAGTAGATTAAGAAAATAAAAAAAATACAAATCAATTCTATGAATTTCTTCAACTTAGAAGAGAAATGGTTTTGCTCATTTTTCTTGGAGATTCTGTTTTCAAAAACACTTTTTAATATTTTTTCCATTATTTAAAATAAATATCTCAAAGAGAATCTGTTGGGGAATCCGAAACAATCAAATCGGATCCTTGCCCTTCTGGACCTTGTGTTGAAAGTAGGAAAGTAGGAAATCCACCACAAATAAAAATCAAAACTTGTAAAGAAGATAAAAGAGACGAACACACAGATTTAACGAGGTTCGGCAACGTGCCTACGTCCTCGGGAGCCACACCACATAATTCTTTTATTAATTGAAGAAAAATTATAAGCTCTCAAACTAGGGTTTTATCTCTCTGAGATTCTCTCTCTTTTCTGCAGTCAAAAACTCTCTTTTTTGTGCTCTATCAAACCCTAAAACGTTTGGGTATTTATATCAAACCCAGCCTAAACAGAATTCCTAAATAGTTTAGGAAACTGTCAAACAGCGTCGCGGTCGACCGCCAAGTTCCCGCGATCGACCGTGAAAATCGACAGAGCCTAGAAAAGTTACAGGGTTTGGCGCGGTCGACCGTCATGCCAGGCGCAGTCGACCGTGATCAAAAGATAGAAACTAAAATCCTACAGGGTTTGTGCGGTCGACCGTCACGGTCGACCGTGATCAGCTCCAGACTCTCCTGAGCTCATGTGCACGTTCGCGGTCGACCGTCGCGGTCGCCCGCCGCAAACTCGCGGTCGACCGTGGATCAGTCTGGTCATTTTCTTCCTTGTTCTGATTCCAGCTCCGGCTTCGACTTTAGGTCTACACTTTAGACTAACATAATCATGGTCATTCGACTCTTCTCTATCTATATGAACTTTTAAATGACTACGTAAAATTCCTGTGCCACCAATTGCCGGCCACTATGTCACTGTTTCTTCTTAAAACCCAGTATTTTTCAAAAATGCCTAATAAGCCCAATCGACAATTTTAATATCCCGACTCAATACATATGTTTTTAAGCCCAGACCAATATTTGCGTTTGGGCATGCACTGATCTGGGACAGAAAATAATAAAAGAAAGTGATGTCCCGGCTGGGTTCAAGCTCGGGTTTTGGTCGCTATGTCAATCCCAGCTCGTTTTATGACCGTGTTCGGGCTTAGGCCCAGCCTAGTCAAAATGTATCAGGCTAGGCAGGTTTTCGAGCCGACCCGACCCGACGGTCAGGCCTAATTCTAATAATTCTTATATGTCTTCATAGGTTGAAAGTTATTTTCTGAGCTGAAATCTTAAAGTAACATCTTTTATAAATCTTTTTAGAAATTTGTGACCAGCAAAAATCTAAATCACAACTGCTATATATCAAAGGGCCCGGCCAATACACAAAAACTCTAAGGGGATGTCAATGTGAAAGTGAATTTAAAATATATAAGTTACTTTTTTTTGCAAATGACTTTTACATCCATGACAGCATGCAAGTGAAATACAATGTTTGTTTGGAAAAATTAAATTATTATCGAAAGCGCAATGTGAAGATGACGTGGCAAAATAAGATTAATTAGAAAGTATAATTAAAATCATTTAATTAAATTAGTTACTTTTTTGTCACTTTCATGTGACTTCACCACTTTTTTAGGGGAAGTCAAAATTACATTAAATCATATGTGACAATTTTCTTGCATCTCACTTTCATAACCACTTACATGAAAACAAACATCTTAATTGTTAAATAAAAATAACTTTCTCACTTTCATCTTTCACTTGCATGCAAACAAACACCCCCTAAAGTTTTTATAAGAATTGAGTATCATAATTTTATATTCTAACAAGCTCAGATCAGAGCCAACAACTCCTCATCGCTATGATGGTCAACGTGCTCTCCTTATTCTCTCATTTTACATTTTTCCCCCTCTAATTTAACGTTGCTTTAAAAATCTCACCAACGATTTACAAGATGAATTTATTTTATTTAACAAACTTTTTTTTTACTCTAATCCATATTGTTGATTATAGTTTACAAAAAATTGCGACACGTTCATAAAAATCTTTATCTATCAACTCTCGGTGTTATTTTTTGTGTATTAGACGCTTTTCTTTGGGTAAAGTGCACTAGAACACATTGTATTTTACTCATTTAGCATTTATATACCCAAAGTTATTTTTCTGAGTATTTATATACTCTGAGTTTTTTAAAATTAGCACTTCAGTACCCTCTGTCATGCAAACATAAAAAGTTTCACTTAAGAGTTCTCATACACCATTCACATATTAATTTTAGAACTTTTTAGTCATTAATAATTGTTAAATTTACTATTAATCCTACCCAAATTCTAATTTAAACATATTCTGATTCTATTTGGAAAATAAGTTTTGATAGATTTAACAGTAAGTTTGAACAAATTTAATTGTTAGAAAGGTATAGAATAAACATATGAATGTTATAAGAGAACTTTCAGATATAAATTTTTATGTTTGCATCGTAGAGGATACTAAAATACTTATTTTAATTTATACAACTGAATATATCAATGCTCGAAAAATCAACTGAGTATGACTACTAAATTAGTGAAACATAAAGTATATTAGTGCAATTTCTTCTTATGAAGTGCCTAGCATTACTGGCATTTGTTGGAAGTAGCATGATTCGGATGGTGGATGGTTTTGATGAAAATGTGTATAAGTCAAGGAGTTAGTTCCATGCGAGCTAGGAACATTGAAAGATAAATAGATCCGGATATAAGGATTCCGTTAAAGTTTTTCCTTTTGATTTAATTGAGTTGAATATTTATTAATCACATGTCCTACTTGAAAATATTTTTCCTTTGAGGTGAACACAAAATATCGTATTAGATGGATATTTAACTGAATTCCTAATGTTTTGAGTACAAAATGGGTATGAGGAGAGAAGAAGTTGGCCATACCATAAATGGGAAATGTTCACCAAAATTTTTAGTATATAAGATGAGTCTTGAGTTTAAAAAAAAACATATATTAAAACTAGAAATTGACATTAGTTTTTTTGGCTGGTACAAGAACAATATTTTATTAAACATAAGGCGCTTCTAGCTGCTTAAACAGGCTTATAATGCAGCAAAAGTTTTTCCCCCGCCCAAAATATCATGCAAATATATAAAATTCTTTTAAAAATAAAATAAACATAAATTAAATCAAAAGAAGAGAAGAGAGAAAAGTAAGAAAAGAAGACGGAGAGAATGAGAAAGAAAAGCATGAAATTCAAGATAAGTATGTAAACTATAGTATCTATAAATAAAATTAGGCAGCCATAAAACTATGATAAAAAAAATTTGGGTGACTAAAAACCCTAGAATCTCTTGTAGCTGATCGGATTTAGGATCCAAGCTTTGATCCGATTCATTTAGAGCTATCATCACTTTCCAAAATCCTATGATATTAGGCATTATGCACACTTCCTATACGTTTATAACCTTATATTTTTAGATAACTGTTGACCCATATTTTTATTTATGAGAAATTTTTAAAACAGACATTTTTTTTAAAACATAATAAGCAAAATTAACCGTTTCTTACCCACGTGGGTAGAAAACTATCGATTTTACTAATTTTTGTTTTTTAATTACACGGGACTAGTAGTCCCATGTAATTAGTGGGTAATCAACTCATTAACAATTTACACGTGACTGCTAGACCCGTGTTTTAAGCAGAGACTTAAGTAGCTGATATCGATTTACACGGGACTACTAGTCTAGTGTTTTAAGCAGACACTTTGGAGACTTGAATCGATTTACACGAGACTATTAGTCTCGTGAATTTCCTGGGCCAAAATCAAAATGCATGGTACTAGTAGTCTCATGCATTTCCTAGGTAGTTCATGTGCGTGTTTTATACGCATGTGTGTTTCCTTTGATTTTGCTAATTTTTATTTTTTAATTACACGGGACTAGTAGTCATGTGTAATTAGTGGGTACTAATCAGCTCATTAACAATTTACACGGGACTGCTAGACCCATGTTTTAAGCAGAGACTTGAGCAACTAAAATCGATTTACACGATACTACAAGTCTAATGTTTGAAGCAGATACTTTGGAGACTTGAATCGATTAACACAGGACTACTAGTCCCGTGCATTTCCTAGGCAGTTCATGTGCATGTTTTATATGCATGTGTATTTCCTCTAAAAATAAAAAAACCATCTCTAATTTTATGTATTTCCTATACAAATCTAAAAACCATCTCACATCGATACATATCAGAATAAAACTAACACATTTCATAGTTAAAATCATATTCTCGATTGAAAATCAAATTTATAACCCTAAATTCTAGTTAAACCCTAATCAATCGCCAAACTACATTATTCATCATATTTCACAAAATGAAACTTAAAAATTTTACCACAAAATTTCATATTTCAATCAAACCTAAACTTTAATCAATCTATATCTATCACCAAAATACCTCATAAATGAATACAAATTTAACCACAAATCTCATAAAACACATTAAAATTAAACCTCATATAATTCATATCAAAATTAAACCCTAACCTAATCCATCCATATCAAAATTAAATCACAATAATGTGGTTTACCTAATCTATCGCCAGACAACATTTTTCATATCCCAATTAAACCCTAACCTAATCCATCCACATCAAAATTAAATCCTAAAAATGTGGTTTACCCAATCTATTGCCAAACAACATTTTTCATATCCTAATTAAACCCTAACCTAATCCATCCATATCACTCATCAATTTCACAAATAGAAAAATAAATTGCACCACAAATAGAAAATCTTCACCTTGATCAAGTCGGACTCGACGGCGGTGGCTGGTGGACGCGGGGCGATCGGCGAACTCGGCGGCGGCCTAGGTACGAGCAGTCAATGCAAAGGGGATTTGCAACAAGGTGTGAGCTAGAGTTTAGGTCACAAAGAGAGAGAGAGAGAGAGAGAGAGAGAGAGAGAGAGAAGAGAGAGAGGTCAAGAAGAGAGAGAGAGAGAGAGAGAGATAGAGTTTAGGTCACAGAGAGAGAGTTTAGGTCAAGAAGAGAGAGAGAGAGAGAGAGAGAGAGAGAGTCACGTGTGGGTTTATAATGGACGGAAATTACATAAAATTGCTAGTCCCGTGTAATTTTTGTGGTTAGTCAGCGTTTTATGATTACACGGGACTAGTAGCCCCGTGTAACTACGAGGCTTATTTTTGCAATTTCGACCTCTGTTTGGCCAGCAATGATGCGCTGGCCAAAAAAAGATTGAAATTGCTAATTTTATTATAAAAATGTTGATTTTGCTTATATTGTTTAAAAATGGTTTATTTTAAAAATTTCTCCTTTTATTTACCCAAAGGTCATGAAGAAATCTACACCCCAATCAGCAGACTTGTGTATATAAAAGTTGTTTTCACAACATCAAATAAAAACCAAACAAACACTAAAATGTTCTGTAACATTATCCTCCTCAATCTCTCAAACGTTTATCTACAGCCAAGGGGAGCCATAGATAGGAGTAACCACAGACTTCACTTGCAGATACTTATCAAGGGCATGCATTCCCATATCCTTTCCAAAGCCACTCATCTTGTACCCACCAAAAGGAACATCGTTATCGAAAGCAAAGTAACAGTTGATCCATATCGTTCCTGCTCGAATTGATCTCGATACTCTGTTGGCCGTGTTTATGTCTTTTGTCAGTACGCCTGCAGCTAATCCGTACCTTGTGTTGTTGGCTTTCTCGATTGCCTCCTCAATTGTCCTGAATCAAAATCTTAGTTTTAAATGTTTTCTTGTAAACATTCGAGTGTAAGTAACGAAGGAGATTTCTGAAGTGCTTACTTGAACTTCATGAGAGACATAACAGGGCCAAATATTTCATCCTGCGCTATCCTCATCTCCTCCTGTGATAAAAGGATTTAGTACATCTCAGGCATCAGATCAAAAACGTATCGCTATATAATTAGCTGTGAAGTTCATAGTTGCGTTTTTTACCTTGACATCGGTAAAGATTGTAGGCTCAATGTAGTATCCTTTTTCTCCACAACGCTTTCCTCCTGTTAGCAATGTTGCCCCTTCTCTCTTTCCAAGATCTATGTAGTTCAATACTTTCTCGAACTGCACTTTATCAACCTGAAGAAGAACGAAAATTTTAATCATATTGCGCTAACTATATTCGCAAAATCACAAAAAATACCATCAACTGTTGGTATATCTCTTGCTTGGGCAAGATAAAAACAAAAAGTACCTGAGGCCCTTGTTGAACTTTAGGATCGAAAGGGTCTCCAACAACCCAGCTCTTGGCTTTCTCTGCTATTTTCTTCACAAACTCATCATAAATTCCTTCTTGAACATAAATCCTAGTTCCTGACACGCAAATTTCTCCCTAACATTTTTCACACAGGAACTGAGTTTATAGTTCAGATAAACAACGAAGCATTTAGGTGCATAATTTGAATCTCTAGGGGAATACAAGATACCTTGTTGAAGAATGTTGCGATCCTTGCAAGATCAACAGCCATGTCCACATCTGCATCATCAAATATGATGACAGGGGACTTGCCTCCGAGTTCAAGTGATACATGTTTCAAATTGCTCTTAGCTGCGGCCTCCATCACTAATCGGCCTACTTCAGTTGATCCAGTAAAGCTAATCTGAAACACAATAAAATTCGTTGCTCTGGTAAGCTTTCAAATGCTAATGTAAGAAATGTTAACTTAATCGAAATAATGTTGGATCTTTCTTGTTACTGACCTTGTCGACGTCCATATGTGAAGAAAGGGCAGCACCAGCTGTAGCACCGAAACCAGTAACCACATTAAGTACTCCATCAGGAACACCAGCCTGCATTTTCGAAATTATAGAAATATTGATTACATGAGACATTTTAAAGTAAAAGTTGGTTGAGTTTCCATGTATCTATGTAGGTTATCATCGCATATTAGCATAAAGAAGAAACATACATGAAACACAAAATTTACCTTCTTTGCCAATTGGGCGCAAAAAAGCGCAGACAGCGGAGTTTGCTCAGCAGGCTTCACAACCATGGTACATCCAGTTGCCAGCGCAGGGCTGACCTTGAAGAAGAACATGGTGGTCGGATAATTCCAGGGTATAATGTGCCCTACGACTCCGATAGGCTCCTTTAACGTGTACCCCTGGTACTCTCTTGACAGCTTGAGTGTCTCTCCGTGGATTTTATCAGCTGCACCTGCATAATACCGGAGTAAATTCACTGCACCTGGGATATCCATGGCCTTGCCCAGTGTAAGCAATTTTCCTCCATCTAGACTATCGAGTTCGGCAACTTCTTCTATGTGTTGTTCAAGCAAATCAGCTAATTTCATCATAATCCTTCCCCTCTCCTGAAAAAGAAACTTCAAATAAGAGATACAGATAATCTCTTTATCGCAAACATTAGGATTATATACGTATAAAATGTATTATTTAAAAATAAGCGAGAGGGAGACAAATTTTCCGTACAAAGCCGGACATGCGAGGCCACTTTCCATGATCAAAGGCGTTTCTTGCAGCCCTGACGGCCAAATCTATGTCCTCCTTATCGCCTTCCGCAACGTTCGCTATCACATCTCCTGTGCGTGGATCTCTCGTCTCAAATGTTTTTCCTGTGACGAGAAACGATTTTGAAACAATTAATTAAGAAGAAAAAAAAGGAAAAAGTAAAAAAATAAAAAAAAATGAAAATTTCACTATCATAGGAATGAAATAGAGATCATTTGAGTGGATAACTTCTTGGTGATATAATTTCATTTGACTATTTGGTTTATTCTGTTAATGTCATGAGAATATAATTCTAGCTATCCGTTGATACGTGTATCATATTTGTTTACTTCTCCTTTCAGACCCTCTTAATTCTCGATTTAGGCTATGTTTTTTCAGATCAAAAGGGATAGTGTTCTTAGTCTGCATGTTTGTATAACGTAGGCCCACCTAATTGTTTATTTTTAACTTGTCATTAAATAGTATTACTGATATTTCTCTTAAATTTTTGATCATTTACTGGTGTTAATGGTCAACGGTCAAATAAGGCTTTGTACATAGTGTATCTAATAAGTTAAGACAACTTCCAATTTTGAGAAGTCATTGTCATGTAGAAGAACAATATGAACATTTCAATCAACTTGTTTATGGAGCTCTCTTGACTTTGAGCTATACTTTATGAATCCCATTTTGATGGAAAGAGACTTGCACTTGATAAGAATGAAAAAAAGATCATCTAACTCTCTAAATTGACAACTTCTTTGAATATTGATCGCATAAGTTATGTGTCATTTGCAAACAAACAATTTTAAAAATAGTCTTTATCCACAAGTATATGTTTGCTAATTGTTAGCCGGAGACACAACTCCTATGGTTAACTTGTGGTGAAGGTAAACGTGTGTCCATTTTTTAGTCAACCACACATTCAATTCATCCTCTCAATGTTCTCCAAGATGTTACGGTATTGGTTAAACTATTATATTTATGATAATTTCTGTAAAGTTTTTCAACCGATGACCAGCTTGTCTGATTATCTTAATCAATTAATAATCAGCTAGCTAAAGGTTATGCTAATCATTTCTTTCACGTTTCAACAGAAGTATCCTTACTTTTGAAGACATTCTCTAATAATATATTAAGGGGGTTTTCACGTAAACTATATCTTTAAAATAGGTGATTATATGAAAACAACCTTCAATGTTTAATCTATACAGGAACCGTCTTTAAAGGGGGTTTCAGTTGCAATCAACAATCTTGGCATATTTTCCGATAAACTTTTGACTAAAATTTCCAAAATACCCTTATGTGACATTCCTTCTTAGCCTAGTGCTTGACACGTGTACTTTTAAGGGTACTTTCCGAATTTTAAATAACATTTCATTAGAGAATATATCGATATGGTTGATTGCAAGCCGAACCACTTTGAAGATAGTTTCTGTATAAATTGTACTTTGAAGATAGTTTTCGCACAATCACCCTATTTTAAAGGTAGTTCACTACCCATATGTTAACAACTACACATCCCAAAAGTAAACTACTCAAGACCTCGCGAACCATGCATGAGAATAGAATAGAGTAATTAATTTCTCGCTACTGTAATTTAGGCACTGAGGGCAACTTTCTTTTTCTTTTTTTCTTTTTCTTTTTTCTTTTTTTTTCAAGTCAATGATAGCGGGAAGGTTTGTTCATAAGCAAGAAAGAAAGAGACATGCAAGCATAAGAAGACAGGGACATTTAAGTATATAATACAAATTAACAGGCAAATCCTATGGGGAAAAAGACAAGCGAAGCAGAATTGTTTTCTTGATTTATCAGTCCAAAGTCCAGCGATAACTAATTAGCCTTTTAGAACCATAAACTTTTACCCAAATTGAAAACTGGCCTAAAAAAGATAAATTGTATATAGTACGTACAGAAGTAGGACAAATTTTCAAAACCAACCCATTTGATAAACTATTCCCAAAAAAAGACCCATTTCAGTTTTATTTGCAAAAACCGACCTGGTTTCAGCCTCAGCGCTGAAACCAGGTCGGTTTTTGAAAAAAAGTTTTCGAAACTTCACGGGAGTTCAACTCCCGTGAAGTTTTGTTATGAGAAAAAACTTCACGGGAGTTGAACTCCCGTGAAGTTTCATAAAGTTTTTTAGAAAAACCGACCTGGTTTCAGCGACAGTGCTGAAACCAGGTCGGTTTCTCTAAATAAATCTGAAACGGGTCGTTTTTTGCAATTAGTTTATCAAATGGGTTGGTTTTGAAAATTTGTCCTACAGAAGTATGTTGGTTTTATCATGGTAAAGCCTAATTTATCTTAATCAATTAATAATCAGCTAGCTAAAGGTTATGCTAATCAATTAATTATCCGTGCTATAATTGGGAAATATAAATGCGAAACGAGAGGCACACACTTAAGGTGCGATCACTAGAGCACGAAAACAGAACACGGTACGGCGGCCATCCTGTCAAGATCACGAGGGATTTGGAATACCCGAAATGTGGGACCCACATTTAGGGCTTTGTTGGTGTTAGAAACTACAAACTGTTTGGTAATTTTAAGGACCCATGCGTGCCTACCTCAAACAAAATAAATCAAAATAAAAATAACAAATTATTTAAAAAATATATTAGTTAATACCAGAGGGTACATGATTGGCTCATGCGTGTATTATTTGGGGCCATGATTTGAATGCGCCCCTCCCCCTACTTGGTTTAAAAAATAAAAAATAAAGTGTTGATTGATAACAAAGATACACGACAAGTCATAGAATTAGAATTTAATTAGACGTTTGTATATATGGTAGTTTTTTTTTTTCTAAATTCCGCAAATTCTTCTGTCAAAGGATTCGAAATTAGATCGCCATTTCTCTTCCTTAATTTGAGAAGCATTGCTAAAATAAAAAGAATATTCAGAAAAGGGGTGAAACAGGGATAACACTAAAAACCCAACCCATCATTCTATTCATAAAGAAAACCCACGTATATATTTCTAGGAAAATTCAGAAGACAAACAAACAGTGGGGGAAAAAACATGCAAATAAGAAATGATAATAATTAGAGATAACAAGGAGGAGGAGGAAATTCAATACCCGAGACGGAGTCGACGAATTGGCCATTGATGAAGAGCTTGGTGAATTTAATCTCTGGCATCTTGAAGCTTTCTCCACCATTGCAATCAACAGCCATATCGTTTGTGTGTATGAGAGAGAGAGAGAAGAGAGAAAGAGTAGAGCAGAAGAGAGAGAGAGAGAGAGAGAGAGAGAGAGAGAGAGAGAGAGAGTAGGAGAGTTAAGGAGGAAAAGAATGGAATAGAAAGAGAGTGGTTTGTGTTTTGGTTGGGATATTGTTGGGCAATATATATGCAGAACAAATACAAATTAGGAAGGGGGTAAAACCAATGGAAACCCCTAATTCTGGGAAAAAAAACAAGTGCACTCTGCAAAAAAAATTAATTATTCCTCTCTCTCTCTCTCTCTTATTTAATTACGTACATGCCATACAAATCAATCATATTTCGGAGATTATCCTCCAAACCAAGATATTTTCTACTTTACCCCCCAAAATTATTATACTGAATTAAACTAACATTCAAAAACTATGTTAAGGAATATTTCGAAGGCATTCCTAATATTTATCCGAAAAATTCCTCAAGGACCCAAAATATAGGACCAATAGGGGGGACAAGTGAGGTGTCCCCCTCCTATTGGATAATGAGTTGGCCATCATTAATGATGATCAACTCATTATCCAATAGGAGAGGGACACCTCACATGTCCCACTTATTGGTCCTATATTTTGGGTCCCTGTAACAAAGCTCTATTTATCCTGCAAACCTAGATATTTTCTACTTTACCCCCAAATATTGTTGAATATAAAAACATAGTTCTCAACCTGCATCACAACTTCAGTGCAACCTGGGTTTAAATTCTATTAGACACCAATTTACGGGTATTCTAAAAAAAATTTAACTCCGCTATATGAGTTTGAGCTTCGGCCAATAAATAGGGCACCTAACTTGCTGGAACATGTCAGAATATAAAAATATAACCTTAACACTCAACACAACTTCGGACCTCGTCAGTTTTGGTGTAATGATTAGGAACTTTAACAAATACTAATGACGTTATGTTTGGACGTTACTTCAGCAAAATAATATGGTAGAATTTGGGTTAAATTAGCAAATATTTAGATTTGAGGTTAAATAATAAACAAAAACCCTTTTCTTTTCCGAAGAGAAGTCTATAGTATGAAATTTGACAGAATTTTCCGTCTAGGTTGCTCGTTTTTCTACTAGTGTCATATCACAATCCAATGCTTTACTAGTAAAATTTATCTGTAAACAATTCACATACTCAACCAAACCATCTATTAATATCTAAACCACCTCTTAATAACTAAACTATTACAATTCATCTTATAGGTAATTATTATGTTTTTTTCTAGTAATTTCAATGACATCTAGTTTTTTATCAGAACAAATAAGTAAGTTTCAAAAATTAAATTGGTAGACAAATATAATTGATAAATTATACAGACCCTCCTTTTGTCCATTTGCACAAATCCAATATTTTTGGTTATGCTCAAAAGATGATCGGTTAGTTTCCAAGTTAGACTGGTTGGAGGAAGTCATTGTATTTCATTTTCCATGAATAGAGAGGTCCACATTTTTTATTTATGGGTTTAAGCTTGCCACGTCTTCTTCGTCTGTTGTCACTATTCTAATTCATTTTCCGATGGCAAACGATCGCTTTGTTTGCCTACTCCCTTTCCTCAAATTGAAAAGATAATGGACTTGTCTTCGCCTACCCTATGTATGTATCACAAAAGGTCGACCTTAATTTTAGAACTTTGTCAATCGTCTAAGATATTCATCAAACTTCCATGCTCATGCTTGTGTTTACGGAACGAAATTTGTTAAATATTATTTATTTCTCTAAAAAAAGTTTATAATATTTTTAATAATTAAGCCTAAACACAATAAGGATAAATAAAAAGTGATGTTTAATTACCGTATATATATACCCTCTGAGTTTAACTATAAAATTAGATTATTTTAGCAGATTTAATTTATTGAGAGAATAAAAAGTTGATCAATTCTCAATTTATACAAGGGTCTTGTAATTACTCATTGAAACTCTTAACATTATATACAACAATTTCCCCTTTTCTTGATTATTACCCAATAGTTTTGTTGGGGGATAATTTTGCTTTCATGGTTATTTGTAACTTACGGAGTTTTTTTTTCCCCCTTATAACCATGCTCGAAATTGAACCTTAGATTGTGGGAATCATATTGTAACCTCTCGACTATTCAAGTTACCCGCAGTAGGGTTGGTAATTAATTTACAGCGATACATATATGCAAAAGGAGCAGTTAATTTCCATTTACTATTTATGATGGTGTCACCATCAATCAGTGTCAAATATATGTTCTGTTATAATTAAAGGTAGAGTCAATACTTAAAATAGTGGACATCTAAACCAATATAAAAGTCTCTAATATTGGAAAAGTTTTATTTAAACTGACTTGAGATAAAAGCGACATTAATTTGTCTTTACGTTTGGAATTAGATTAACATTCAGAATCCTATGCAAAAAAAAACGAGGAAAGTAGAAAAATGAAAAGGGATTAGGAGCCGTAAATAATTAGAGGGGAAAATCAAATTTTCAACTCTCTCTCTCTCTCTCTCTCTCTCTCTCTCTCTCTCTCGTTTTATTTAAACTGACTTGAGATAAAAGCGACATTAATTTGTCTTTACGTTTGGAATTAGATTAACATTCAGAATCCTATGCAAAAAAAAACGAGGAAAGTAGAAAAATGAAAAGGGATTAGGAGCCGTAAATAATTAGTCTCTCTCTCTCTCTCTCTCTCTCTCTCTCTCTCTCTCTCTCTCTCTCTCTCTTTTCTATTTTATGAAAAGTGATTAATAAAGGTCGCGTAAATTGTGAGTTTATTTCCATTTGTTTTAGTTTAAATATTTTATGATGATGACTGCCTAAACAAAACAAATATTTAAAATGAAACAAGTCTATATTTATAGCTATATCTATATCTATACTACTATAAAAAGAGGATTGGGGTGTTAAAACTTTTAATTTTCTTTTTTGTCCTTTTAAATTTTAATAAAGAGTGCTACTACGGGGACCCAAAATATGGGACCAAGGAAGGGGACAGGTGAGGGGAGACAGGTGAGGTGTCCCATATTTTGGGTCCTTAAATCATTTTCCTTTAATAAATTCTAAGTATGTCATTATCTCTAATTAATTTTTCATTAAAAAATATAACAACTTATTAATTATGCACCTCCTTGCCTTCCTAAATAATTATAATTATCAATAATATTATAACTATTAGTTGTTTAACAACAATATAATACACTAATTTATAAAATAAGTATACACAACTATTAATAGTAACCAATTATTATTATTATTTATGAATTATAATAAAATAATTAAAATAATAGTATACATGAAATGATATATTACTAAATACTATTATGAATTATACTATAATTCAATAAGCAATAAAATAAATAGAATATATATTTAATATCATAAATAGTGTAATTATTTTAATAATATCACATGAATTATGAATTACTCTATTTATTTAGTATTATATTATTAAATAAATAATTTAATATTATTTTTAGAATATTTTCTCAAAGATTATTACATGATACTAAATAATCTATACTTAGTAATGATTGAAAACTAATATTTTTACAAAAAAAATATCCAATATTAATAATAGTACTATTAATTGTTAATGATAGTATAATAAAAATTTATAAAGTATTTATAGTACTAAATTATTTAAGAGCATAATTAAAAATATTAAATTAGATAAATATTTTATAGTATATAGATAGTATAATTATTTTAAATAGTATTACTTGAACTAAGAATTATAATATTAAATAAGGTACATTTCAGTAAACCCCTATGAACTTTCAGCATTTTGCAGCAAATAGACTTTATGAACTTTCAAAATCCTCTAATAACTTTTGCCGAAAGCACCCCCGATATCTTTTAGATAAATTACACCAAACCTCCGATAACTTTCAAAGTGCCTTTTTATGACATTTTCTGATTATAACTATAGGGCTATATGCAAAATTTAGAAAATTATTTAGGATTTTCTTTGAAACAAAAAAGTTATTAAGGTTTTAGTATGATTTTGAAAGTTCATAGGGGCTAAAAGTTCATAAGGGTTTAGTGTAATTTACCCTATTAAATAATTATAATAAGAAGCAACTATTGCAATAGATTGATGGTATTAAATTTAACTCTCTAGGGAACATTAAGAAAAATCTAGCAAGATGAATGCAGTTTAGTTAATTTAGAGTTAAGTTAACAACTTTCAAATTAGAAGGGCATATTTAAGAAAACTTATAGTTTTGGTAGACTTATTTTAGAACAATTGTAGATTTGGCGGACTTATTTAAAAAAAGGTTAGCATTGGATATTCATTATAAGAAAAACTTTCAATTACAATAACCACACAATAATAATTAAGTCATACATTTCTTTTTAAGCAATTTTATTTATTAACACATACTTTTACTATTTAATAAAAATTTTAAAACTTAAAATATTTTTGTTCACGTGCAAAGCACGTGCATTATACTAGTGGAAATAAACAGATATTTAAAATGCAACAAATTGAACAAATTGAACACTTCTTGCTCATATTTCTCTTTTTACAATTTAATTGTTCCGTTGAAAGAACAAAAAAAAAAGATATTAATTGTTTGGTGATATGTCCTAATTTTGCCAAACATAATGTACAAGGTCAACGCCCTTATTTATTGGCATTTTCAGCAACCGGACTAAAAAATGTAACGTACCAATCGATGGTTGAGAATTGACTTTTTGAAGAAGACAATAAACTTTAGCATATGCTAAAATATATATTGTGACAATTTGAAAAGAAATGTATATGAATATTAATAAAAAAAACTTCTATCAACTTACGTTTATAGGATTAATTACCTGTAAGTTAATTGCTTGTGGTATATATAAAGTAAATACTCATTTATATAATTATATAGAATATACAACATATGCATCATATAGTGCCCAAAATTCATAGTCCACATGATTGTCTGGCTTTTTGTTTATGTTGAATAACAGAAAAAGTCTAAAATAACACAAAAACTTGGACAATATGACCTAAAGTTTCAGGAAAAGAGGTGAAAACTTCTTAGTTTTCGTCGTCAATTTATATTTCTTTTCTTTTATTATTTTTTTTCTTTGCTCCCCATGTGTGTGTTTCTCTGTGAGGCGGTGCCATATTTCTCACATTTTGACTAAGATTTGT